ATCATAGGGTAACCTCAAAGAAAAATTATAAACCTTCACATCACAATAATATTAAACTTTCTGATTTTGATAGTTACACTACGGGTAGAGAAGTGATTTCCATATCTCAATGAATGCTCCTTGGAAGTGAGAATGGCCAGACCTTGTTTTATCTACTCTGGTCATGTTGTTAGAAAGGACCAATCCCTGGAGAAGGATATTATGCTTAGTAAAATGGGGGATCAGTGAAGAAGGGGAAGACTCACAATGAGATGGACTGACACAGTGGCTGCAATGATGGGCTCAAGCATAGCAAGTGTTGTGAGGATGATGCAGGACTAGGTAACGTTTCGTTCTGTTGTACATATTGTCATTATGAGTTGGAGTTGACTTGATCGCCCCTAACAACAACACCACCACCAAGGAAATATTTGCTGAAACATTTAGTAGTCAAAGGCATGATGTCTATAACTTATTCACAAGTCATTAAGAAAAAAAATACTTTTTCATACATATAGAGATAGAGCAAGTTGCCCTGATGGCACAATGGTTAAGCACTGGGCTGCTAACTGAAAGGTTGATGGTACAAACCCATCAGTGGCTCCACAGTAGCCATCTGCTCTCATAAAGATTAGAGCCTAGGAAACTTAAGGGATAGTTCTACTGTTTTCTATAGCATTGCTGAGTCTGAATTAAGTTGACAGCACAAAACATCAACAGCAGAGATAGAACAATAAAGCGAATGCGGCAAAATGTTTGCAATTGGTGACTCTGAGTGAAGTGTCTGAATTATTGTTGCAGTTTCTTAGTTTACTTATGAGTGGAATTGCTGAGTCATAGGCTGTGAATGGAGGAGCCCTGGTGGCACAATGGTTAAGCCCTTGGCTGCTAATTATAGGGTCTGCAGTTCAAAGTCACCAGCAAGAGAAAGATGTGGCAGTCTGCTTCCATAAAGATATAAAGCCTTGGAAACTCTATGGGGCAGTTCTACTCTGTCATTAGGGTCACTAGTAGTCAGAATCAACTTTATAGCAATCGTAGGGCATGAATATCTTTGAATTTATTACATATTACCAAATTGTTCTCCAATGTGGTTGTCCTAATTACATTCCTATTGTTCCATGTCCTCACCAATACTTATATCACATTTTAAATCTTTTTCCAATCTGATGGGTATGAAATACCATCATGATTTTAGTTTGCATTTTTTTTATAATAGTGAGGCTGGACATTTTTTCAAATGTGTAGCCATGGAGCCTTATTCCTTTATGACGTACTTCCCATATTTTTAGTCCTTTTTTTAAAAAAAATTGGGTTCTTTGACTTTTTTTAGTAATTTGTTGTAAGTCTTTATATTTCTGGGAATTAATCTTTTGCCAGTTAGATGCATTGTAGATACACACATACTTTTGAAAGAGGCTTAACCAAAATATAAAAGTAAATGATATTTTATTTGACTTACACAGAATCAACTAGATCAGGGGTTGAGAAAATGCTGAATACCAAAAATGTAGGGCTTCACGAACTGGCCTCTGTTTAAAGAAGCCTGGGTCAGTTGAGAAATATGAGGTAACTTGAACTTGCATTCTTATCTCTGGCCCCACTAAAAAGATTATTTTTAGAAGGGCTGTCACTGTCCCCAGTTTATTCCATTTGGAGATTTGCTCTATAGTTAAAAAACAAAAAATCTGTATATTGCTAAATAATGAAACTCTTACAAGGCTAAATGTTGGCCAGTACTTGGGTTGAGTAACCAACTTGGAGCAGTGTTGAAATGCCTAGAGGCCAAGAGGATAATTCTGTAGGGACAATATCTTGGCTTATCCTCTAATGCTAATTAAACCCTTTTGAAAGATAGTGGAGAAAGGTTAAACCACTTAGACTTGACTACCAAATGAGATGGTTTAATGATCATTCAATAACTTCTTTTATTCTCATTCAGAAAGTTATTAGGTATTTGCTTTGTATATATATCAAAGGGACTAAAATAATAGAAATTGAGTCCCTGTGTGGTACAAAAGGGCAATTCTGTTAACAGAAAGGTTGGTGGTACAAGTTCACCCAGGAGTGCTTTGGAAGAGAGGCCTGGTGATCTATTTCTGAAAAATATGCCATTGAAAGCCCCGTAGAATACAGTTCTACTCTGATACACATGAAGTTGCTGAAAGTTGATTCAATGGGCAATTGTGGTGGTGGTGGAAGGAGGCTAAAATTTTTCATACCCTCATTTTATAGGTAAGGAAACCAAGTTAAGTGACTTATTTATTACCTACGGCCATGGAAACCCACTGCCATTGAGTCAATTCCGACTCATAGCAACCCCCATTGGGTTTCCGAGATGGTAAATCTTTATGGAAATAGATTGCCCAGTCTTTCTTCCATGGAGTGGCTGGTGGGTTTGAACCACCAACCTTCTGGTTAACAGACATTGCAGTTGGTGGTTGTCATAAACAAAACTTAACTTTTGACTCCAGGTGCTCTTTCCTTTATCCTCCAGTGCATCATGCTACCTACCTCTCCTTCAAAAAACCAAAATACTGCAGCTCCTTCTGTTGATGCATGTATAAGCTCTCCAGGGGTTAGCCAATGGTGCTTCATACTCTAAAGCCATTTTGCATACTCTCCACTTTCCTCACTGATTTTCCAGTAATCTGGAAAGTGAGAAAATCAAGGGTGGATCATCTTTCAGAATATTTCACAACTCAATCTCTACCCTACAAGGAAAGACACCAAGGAAATGTTGTTAACTCCCATTGAGTTATCCCCCAACTCATGGCGACCCTATGTGTTATGGAGTAGAAATGAACTCCATGGAATTTTCTTGGTTCTAATTTTAGGGATGCAGATAGCTGGTCTTTCTTCTGTGGAGCTGCTGGGTAGGTTTGGATTGCGAACCTTTATGTTATCATCTGGTCAGAAACCACTTGTGCACTCAGGCTCCTACTAAGAAAATAAGAGATTACAAATTGTAGTCTTCTGAAGGAACTAAATTTCTTGTGACCCATATACCAGAGGAATAAATGGATATGTTGTGTATATTGTTGTTCTTAACGTCCACGGATTTGATTCTGATACATGTCGACCCAATGTGTGCAGAGTAGAACTGCTCTACAGGGTTTCCAAGCTTGTGATTTTTTGGAAACAGATCACCAGACTTTGCTTCCAAGGCTCCTTCCAGTTACTGTATTTTTATGCAAATGCTGTGCACATTATACAGTTTATTGCAAATGCACAACTCCCTCAAGCATTAGTTTCCTATGCATGCTATGTGTGTTATATGTGTGTGCATTTATTTACATGGTTGTGTTATATGTGGGAAAGTACGGTAGTAGTCCAGTGCCTAACCATCCAGGGACTACTATTGTGTATATACCAAAACCAAACCAACTACTGCCATTGAGTTGATTCTGACTCATAGCGACCCCCATTGGGCCTCCAAGGCTGTAAATCTTGGAAAAGTAGATTGCCTCATCTTCCATGGTGTAGCTGGTTAGAGTCACCAACCTTCTGGTTAGCAGACAAATGTCTTAGCCACTATTCTCCAAAGATCTTCTCCTTCTCATGCTATTCTTATTTAGTAACTAAATTGGGCAGCAATAGTTATTCTTTTTCAATTTACAAAAATTTATGCTGCTTTAAAACCCTTTGCATTATTTTCTTTATAAAAAATAGCATAATAGTATAAAGAGGAAATTCTGATCTCGTTGACTTAATGTTTTTTCTTGAGACTTTCTCTATGGTTATTTGTTTTATATACCAAACAAACAAACAAACAGAACCCAAACTCACTGCCAGCAAGTTGATTCCAACTAGTAGAGACTCCCTGTAGGTTTCCAAGGCTGTAAATCTTTTTGGAAGTAGATTGCTCCATCTTCCTTTCACAGAGCAGCTGGTGGGTTTGACCCGGTGACCGTCTGGTTAGCAGCCAAATGCCTTATCCACCGTGCCACCAGAGCTCCTTTAATATTTTATACAGTTAAATTAAACTATGCTTTTTTTTTTTTAATTTTTTATTGTGATTTGGGTGAAAGTTTACAGAACAAATTGGTTTTCCATAGAGCAGTTCATACATATTTTGATGTGTGACATTGATTCCAAGTTCCATGATATAACAACATTCTTTCCACCTCTTCCCTGTGTTTCCTATTTGCATTTGTCATTTTTTTCCAACTCCTTGCTGCCTTTTAAGCTTTATCCCTGGGACAAATGCTATTCTTTGACCTCAAATCATTATAAATCACACTTTTAAATCCTGATTTTTTTTTTCCACTTATGAGAGCCCTTTCCATGTTATTAAAATGTTTTGTTAACACAGTTATTAAAGGATACGCTATATTTCATGGTCTGAATTGATGATAATGAAGAATGCTCCAATAAACACCTTTCTCTACATTTCTGATTTCTTCTGGCAGATTCCAAGAATTGGAAATATTGAATCAAATGACAACACTATTTTTAATGTCTTCATGCCAAACTGATTTGGGCTAGTAGTTCCACACTAATACATGTAGAGTTTGAAAAACAGTACCTGTATCATTTCCATCACTGAACTTTATTATTAAACAAAAATGTTGGTGATTTTATAATATAAATAGACCAATCTTTGTCTGATTCACATTTCTTTTGCCTCTGCAGTAAATATTTTCCCCTATTTTGCTTGCTTTTGACTTTATGATTTGTATTGGGAGAAAACATAAGTTTTTATTTTTACGTCACCTAGATTGACATTTGGAGTTTTTTCTGTGAGTTATTTTATTATTGGTTTATAAGGCGGAGAATGCAAGAGGGTTATTGAGGTTCACAGTTGTTCCACAATTAACAGAAATTATTTTATGCAGGCTCAGTGATTTCACCCTTGTTCCCTCTGCAATTACTTGTCTCATTTTTGAAATTTGCTCCATGTCATCCATTAAACTTATATTACTTGTCTTTGGTATTCTGCACAGTCGTAAAGCTGCCTTTTTGGCCAGCTGATCTTCTGTCCTATGACATTTTCTCATGTCCTGATACTTTCTTTTAAGGTATTATCCAAAGAGATGAGTCACCCATGGAAAAAGGGCTCTCTGGTCTGCGAGGAAGGGACTTTGAGCTCTCTGATGTGTTTTATTTCTCCAAGAAGGGATTGGAAGCCATTGTGGAAGATGAAGTGACCCAGAGGTTCTCCTCAGAGGAGTTAGTATCGTGGAATCTCCTCACAAGGACCAATATAAACTTCCAGTACATTAGCCCACGGCTCACCGTGGTGTGGGTGCTGGGTGTCATAGTACGCTACTGTGTCCTGCTGCCTCTGCGGTAAGTCACCTGTTCAACAATTTGATGGTATCGATGGTTCAACTTTATTTTTCAATCATGTGTCTGATGGTTACATAAGAGTATTGTACGACTGCTATGG